GAGCACCGGCCCGTCGACCGCCCACGACGGGTCGCCCACGATCAGCCCGGTGTTGTCCCACGACTCCGCGAGTTCCGGGGGCGCGACCGCCTCCATCGCCCGGACCAGATCGCCAACGCTCCGTTTCATGCCGCTCACGCCGCCTCCTGTGGACGTTTGTGCCCGAACCAACTTCCCGGATAATACAACCTCAAAGAGAGAGCGCACCGCACACGCAACCCACGGAGGAACGGCGTGACCGCAGCCACAACCAACGGCGACACCAAAACCTTTGTCCTCGACACCAACGTCCTCCTCCACAACCCCCGGGCGCTCTTCGTCTTCCAGGAGAACAACGTCGTCGTCCCCTTCGCGGTCCTCGAGGAGATCGACAACTTCAAGTCCGGCTCCAACGACCTGGGCCGCAACGCCCGCGCCTGCGTCCGCTACCTCGACGCCCTCCGCGAGACCGGCCGCCTCACCGAGGGCGTCTCCCTCGCCGGCGCCCCGGACAAGGACCTCGCCGGCAACGCCCCGACGGGCCAGCTCCGCGTCGACATCGCCCCGCGAGAGCTCCCCCCGGCGCTCATCGGCGCCACGCCCGACAACCGCATCATCGCCGTCGCGCACACCCTCAAGGACAAGGGCGAGCGCGTCGTCTTCGTCTCCAAGGACATCAACGCCCGCATCAAGTCCGACGCCCTCGGCATCCACGCCGAGGACTTCGAGAACCAGAAGGTCGACCTCGAGGACCTCTACACCGGCTACCTCACCGTCACCCTCGACGGCGCCCTCATCGACTCCATGTACGAAGAACGCATGCTCCCCGTCGACGACCTCCTCGATTCCGTCGACGACGAAACGCGGGAGATGCTGAGCGAGGGCGGCCTCCAGCCCAACGAGTTCCTCATCCTCGTCAGCGCCACCGACCCCGGCCACACCGGCCTGGCGCGACGCCTCGCCGACACCGAGCACCTCATCCCCGTTTCGGCGCCGCGCAAGCAGGTCTTCGGGATCATGCCCCGCAACGTGCAGCAGACGATGGCCCTCGACCTGCTCATGGACGACGAGGTCAAGCTCATCACCCTCATCGGCCAGGCCGGCACCGGCAAAACCCTCCTCGCGGTGGCCGCGGGGATGGCCAAGGTCTTCACCGACGAGCGCTACGAGAAACTCCTCGTCGCGCGCCCGATCATGCCCATGGGCCGCGACATCGGCTACCTCCCCGGCGACAAGGACGAGAAACTCGCCTCCTGGATGCAGCCCATCTTCGACAACCTCGAGTACCTCATGTCCACCCGCGGCTCCCCGATGCAGACCGCCGAGAGCCACACGACGGAGCAGCGCATCGCCCGCCTCATGGCGGACGGCAAGCTCGTCCTCGAACCGCTCACCTACATCCGAGGCCGCTCCATCCCGCACCAGTTCATGATCGTGGACGAAGCCCAGAACCTCACGCCCCACGAGGTGAAAACCATCATCTCCCGCGTCGGCGAGGGCACCAAGATCATCCTGACGGGCGACATCGAGCAGATCGACAACCCGTACCTCGATTCGTCGTCCAACGGCCTCTCCTACTGCCTCGACCGCATGAAGGGCGACGGCCTCGTCGGCCACATCACCCTCGCGAAGAGCGAGCGGAGCGACCTGGCCAGCCTCGCGGCCGAGCGGCTGTAGCCATAGCAGCCGCGAGTGGAAACGAGCGGACACACTGAAACGCCCGCACGCGCGAGCAGGCCCCGCGCCGTCCGCTGCGTGCTCCGCGACCAACCCCGACCGTCAGGGAGGGGCTGCCCTTTGCGCACAATCAACCATACCGGTAATAACCGCGAGCGTGAGCGAGTCAGGTACACTCTAATTCTGTATTCAACAATGCGCGGATTCAGAGCTCCATGAACTTGTCTCACCCAGACAGTTGGGATGAATACAGTAACGCTGTCATAGATGGTGTTGCAGCGCCTTCGGTATATCCAGCAATCGTTGAAGCCGGTATCGCAGACGCTGTATTGCCAGCGTCCATAGAGAATAAGTGGGTCAAAGCCAACATCTTCTGGAGCACAGTCGCCTTTGTTGGTGCTCTACTGATTTATTTCGATTCAACTGTCTTGGGAATAATTGTGATAGTCGCGAGCCTGTGGCTCTACACGCGTCGCACAAAGCCGCTCGGATGGCGTGTGGGATATATAGCAGCCTTGCAGCAGGAAATTGGGATGTGGGGAATTCAGCGAGGCTATTTGTCACTCCAGTATCTTCATCGCGAGCAACTGAGAAAATGGCAACCATTAAATGAAACGATGCTGGATGTAGCGCGGCAAGATCTGGAATCGCAACCATCTCAACTTGATGCTCTGATCGTTTTCAATGGTTCGATACTGCTTCCGCTAGCAAAGATCGCACTTGGCGTAGCACTCTTGCTAAAAGCATGGCATCAACCGAGCGTCGTCAATATTTTTCTTGGTGGGAGCATTGCGATTTTCTTCTTGGTTCAAAGCTTGGTGCGTCTACCGCTGCTTCTCAAGCGTCGGTGATCGTTTCGCACCTAGTGCATTTTCGCCATAACGGCAGCCCCTCCCTCACGGTCGGGGTTGGTTCAAAAACCCCCGCAAAATATTCGCCGCCGCCAGCGCATCCCGCCGCGCCTTCTTCTGCTTGTGCGTCAGCCCCGACTGCGCCATCTGCCAGTCCGCCTCCGCGCTCGTGAGCCGCTCGTCGAAGTAGTGCACCTCCATCCCCGTCGCCTCGCGCAGCTGCTCTCCGAACGCCCGCACCTTCTTCGCCTGCGGCCCCTCGTCACCCGTGTCCATGTTCACGGGCAGCCCGAGAACCAGCGCCCTCGCGCCCGCCTCCTCGATCGCCTTGCCGATCTCCGTGATGAGCCGCGGCGCGTCGCTCGACGGCACCTCGATCGTGCGCACCGGCGACGCCATCCGCGTCTCGTCGTCCCCCATCGCGATCCCCGTGCGCTTGTCGCCGAGATCGATACCGAGATACGTCGTCGCGCGCTTCACGGAAGCGTCCCTCCCTCGCAGCTCAACGCGTCCCCCTCCGGCACGCCATCCACGCCCAGCCGACGCAGCATGAACAGCGCCTGACACCGGTGGTGCATCGAGTGCGTGATCACGTGCGCGATCGCCCCGCCGTACGTCTTCTCCGTCGGCGGGTTGTCGAGCGGGTCCGTCCAGAGCTCGTCGTCGCGCCCCTCGTCCCGCACCGCGCGCGCCAGTCTCTCGAACTCCGCGTACCACGCGTCGAACACCCCGAGCATCTCCGTCACGCTGGGACGAGCCACCTTCGCCGGCACGACCGCCCCCGTCATCACCGCCGTCCACACCTCGACGTTCCGCACGATGTGCGCCAGAGTCGCCCGCAACGACCGCAGCCCGAGATCGAACTCCCGATCCAGCTCTTCATCCGACAACGAAGCCGACAGCTCCAGGAGCCTCCGCGTCGTCAACCGATCATGTCGAAGCAACCGATCAAGCAGATCCATGCGACCAGTCTAAGACCCATCCCCCCGATTGCCGATTGCCGACTGCCGACCTGCCGACACCACCCCATTGCCCATTGGCCACTGGCCATTGCCCAACTCAGTGAACGCTCACAATCCCCTGAGACTCATCCGGCACCGCGCTCTCCGTCTTCGCCAGCCGCGTCGACGGCCCCGTCACCACCTGCTCACCCGGCAGCGGGTTGAACCGCGAGCCCGCCATCGGCACACGCGTGTTCACCTCGCTCTTCGGGATGATCGGCGCCACGAACATCGCGCCGACGAGCACCACGACATTCATGACGAGGTACTGCGTCCAGTGCGTCCATTCCATGTAAATCATCAGGCTCGTCGCCACCACAAGGGCGATCGAGAGCGGGATGAGCGACTGCCACGCAAGCTTCATCACCTGGTCGTACCGGATGCGGGGAACGGTCCAGCGGATGAACATCATGAACACCACCGAGCCCACCACCTTCGCGAAGAAGACGTTGAACTTCACGAACGCCGCGAGCAGGCCGGTGGCCGCCGGGTCGGTCAGCGGCACGAACGGCAGGTGGTACCCGCCCAGGAAGAACAGCACGAAGAACGCGCTGCTCGTCATCATGTGCGCGTATTCGGCGAGGAAGAACAGCGCGAACCGCATCGCCGAGTACTCCGTGTGGTACCCGCCGACCAGCTCCTGCTCCGCCTCCGCGTTGTCGAACGGCGCCCGGTTCGCCTCCGCGAGGATGCACGTGTAGAACAGCACCGCCGCGAGGGGCATCGCCAGGATGTACCACACCCCGCTCGTCTGCTCGCCAACGATCACGCTCGGGTGCACCGAGCCCGCCACGAGCAGCATGCAGAGCACCGCCACGCCGAGCGGGATCTCGTAGGAGATCATCCCCGCGCTGCACCGGAGCGAGCCGAGGAACGAATACTTGTTGTTGCTCGCCCACCCGCCGAGCGTCACGCCGTACACCCCGAGCGACGCGATCGCGATCAGGTACACGAACCCGACGTTGATGTCCGCCACCGCGATCAGCGCCCGACCCGGCTCGACGATCTGCGTCCCGAACATCGAGATCGCGCCGACGTCGATCGACCCGCCCCACGGAATGATCGCCCACCCGATGAACGCCGGAACAACCGCCAGCGCCGGCGCGAGGGTGAACAGGTACTTATCCGCCCCCCGCGGCATGTAGTCCTCTTTCAGGATGAACTTCAGCCCGTCCGCGAGCGACTGCCCGAGCCCCCAGAACCCGAACCCCCGGAACAGCTTCTGCAGAACCGGGAGCCCCAGGTCGAACCCCACCCGGTTCGGCCCGATCCGGTCCTGGATGTACGCCGAGATCTTCCGCTCAAAGTAGATGAGCAGCGGGATCGTCCCCAGGATCGCGTGAACGACGATCACGACCGTCAGGGCGGAGACGAAGAACTGGGCGGACATGGGGAAGATCGCGTCGAGCATGGGGGCCAATGGTAGCAGGGGGGAATCAGTCTTTCCTGCCCGCCGGAGGCCACCGCGACACCATTTCACGGGCCCGCGAGTTCAGAATTCGCCCGGCCGGTGCACGATGTCGATGACCCGGGGCGCGTAGTAGACCACCCGCCTCGCGTCCCCGGCCGGCGTCAGGATCCCGAGGCCCGCGAGCCGTTCGAGATCGGCCCGCGCGGTGTTCGGGGAGCCCACCCCCGTCACGCCGACCGCCGCCGCCGTGTCGATGGCCGGCGTGCCGAGCAGATGATCGACGATGGCCAGGTTGCGGACGTGCAGCCCCGCGTCCCGCACGGCGTCGCCCCATTCGCTCCGGAGCCGGAGCAGAGCGTTGCACTGCCGGATCGTCCTCCGCCCCTGCGTCGCGACGGCCCGCAGGCAGAACGCGACCCACGTCCCCCAATCGTTCCGCGAGCTGACGCCGAAGAGCCCGGAGATGTACTCGTCCTTGTACCGCTCGAAATACTCGCTCAGGTAGAGCCAGGGCTTGCCGAGCCCGCACCAGCGTCCGAGCATCAGCGCGAGCAGGAGCCTCCCGACCCGCCCGTTGCCGTCTCGGAACGGGTGGATCGCCTCGAACTGGTAGTGCAGCATCGCCGCCCGGACGATCGGGTGCGCCCCGGGTTCCTCCGCGTGGCAGTACGCGAAGAACTCCTCCATGCACTGCGTCACGAGGTACGCCGGAGGCGGGATGAACCGCCCGTCGGACCCGATGAAGACCTGGCCCTCGCGGTACCGCCCGGGCGACTTGTCCTCGCCCCGCACCTTCTCGAGGAGCGTCTGGTGCAGCGCGCGGACGAGCCAGTCGTCGAAGCCGCGCGACTCCAGATGCTCCGTCCCGTGGCGCAGCGCCGCCTCAGCGTTGTGCACCTCGCGCCGGTCATTGGACTCGCCGCCGGCGCCGATCCCCCGGACCTCTTTCAGCTCGAACCGGAGCAGGTCCTCCGCCGTGACGAACTTGCCCTCGATGCTCGAACTCCTGAGCGATTCCTCCCGCTGGAACGCGCGGAGCAGCACGCCCGGGTTGGGGAGCAGGCTGCTCCCCGTCACCCCGCGCAGCTCGCCGACCACCTCCCGCGCCTCCGCCAAGAGATCCTTGTGCAGCTCCGTGAGCCGAAAACCCTCCGGCGGCAACGGGCTCGGCACGAACGCGACGTCCCCATCCTGGATCGGGACAAGCCTCCCGGGTGCGTCGTCCGTGAAAATCGAAGTATCCATCAGCGCAGGACTCCAAGAGTCAAAAAAACTCAAATATTGACTCTGATCGAGTGTATGGCGCAATCCACTGAGCCTGAATCGCCAGCATAGTCAAAATAGATCAATAATTGACTTTGATTGAGCCCAAAGCAGCAATAATTGAGTCAAAAAACGGAATTTTTTGACTCTGAAGCCTCGGAGCCCCCGTGCTCTCGAACGGCCACGATCCGCCAGAGCGGGTCGCGAAATCAAGGCAAACCCCTTGCATTCCTAGGTGTCTACGGGTACCTTCACCCCTAGAACAGAAAGGGGTATCCCATGCCCACCACCAGACCCTCAGCCAACGACACCCGACGAGACCTCATCAAGGGCACCCTCGGGACCATGATCCTCAAGACACTCGCCGCGTCGCCCATGCACGGCTACGGCATCATGAAGCGGATCGAGTCCGTCTCGGGCGACGTGCTGGGCGTCGAAGAGGGCTCGCTCTACCCGGCCCTGCACCGTCTGGAGAAGCGCCGCCTCGTCGAGAGCGAGTGGCGGAAGACCGAGACCGGCCGGCGCGCCAAGTTCTACGCCCTCACGAAGACGGGCCGGGCGCAGCTGGCTGAGGAACTCGACGCCTGGCACACGCTCTCCGGCGCCGTGACGAAGGTCCTCTCCGCAAACCGCCTCGAGCCGGCCTCCGCATGAGCGCCCTCCGCGCCATCCTCGGGCTCTGGCCGAGCGGATCGCCGGGCAACGACCCGGACGCGCACACACTCCGCGCGCAGATCGACGAAGAATTCGCCCACCACCTCGACGAGCGCGCCCGGGAGATCGAGCGCACCGAGGGCGTCCCCCCGAAAACCGCCCGCGAGCTCGCCCGCGCCCGCTTCGGCGACGCGCACAAGCTCGCCCGCCAGTGCGAACGCATCGCCACCTGGGAGAAAACCATGCTCCAACGCCTCAACGCTGCGCTCTCCGTCCTCCTCCTCATCGGCCTGATCTCCGTCGGCTGGCTCGCCTGGACACAGAACCGCGCGACAAGCGAGACGCTGGCGGAGGTGGGGGCGTCGATTGAGCAGTTGCGGGAGCAGTTGGGGGCGGCACCGGCAGAGACTCAACAGGAGCGGTACCCGAACGAGTTCGCAATGAACACGGGCCGCTACACCGTGCAAGTCGGCGACACCCTTCCAAGCATCGCCGTCGCGCTGTACGGCGACGAGTCGATGTGGAATGAAATCGCAGAATTCAATCGTTCGCGAATCCACGATTCGGGCGGTATCAAGCCGGGCCTGATTCTCGCGCTGCCCGCGAAGAGCATATTGGGTACGCAACCCGGCACCGCCTTCGTCACCGGCGACGTCATCAACCCCGGCGCGTACACCATCTCACAAGGAGGACTCACGCTCGAACAGGCGATCCTCGCGGCGGGTGGAACAAACGAAGAAGCACCCAGAGGCACCGGCCCGCTCATCATGCTCACCCGCGACGAAGACGGGCAGCGATCAAAGATGTACGAAGACCTCTACGCGGTCCTGCAGAGCAGTGGCGATTCGATCCAACTCCGCAACGACGACCGAATCACCGTCGAGAACAATTTCCTCGGCAGGATGTCATCCGCAGAAGTCCTCGGCCCAACCGAGCGGACCATCACGGTGCACGGCGCGGTCGAACGCCCCGGCACGTGGAATCTACTCAGCAGCCGGATGACCACCCTCGCGCAAGCGCTAGGCGAAGCGGGCTTCTATATCGTCAAAGGTGAGACCGTGGATGTCGACGTCGTCGGCGAATCCGGCACTCGCGAATTCTCCATCACCGGTCCGTACGGAAACGTCGCCTACCCGCCGGCACTCGTGCACGCTGGTGAACAGATCCGAGTCTACGAACACGGGCGGGAATACGGAATCGAGGACGTGATTTCGTCGGCGGTCCAGATCACGTTGGAAGGTGTCCCGTCGGATACCTCGAGCTGGTACCACATCGAGAACAGCACTTCACTCTTTGATGCCATAGCTCTTGCTGCGGGAGGCTCAAAATACCCACCCGTCAATGCCGAGGGTCCTGTCATGGTGAGCTTGTCGAAGAGTACCTTTGTAAATGAAAGAGGGTCTGGCTGGAGCTTCTACAAGTCAGAATGGCTGGGACTCCTTTCCGGTGAACAATTACATTCTTGGGCAGTCGCCTATCCAGTCGCATCGCGGGACCGCGTTGAAGTTTCGGTACGTGAACTCCATTACGGACCCAACTACGAATTCTCGCCCGTTGATCGTCAGAGATGGCACTCCGAGGAAGTCATCACTCTGATCGTCCGCGCAAAGGAGAAGCCCGAACAACAATGGCAGATCCACCCGCCGAGCGGTGACAACCAGATCGAACTCGGATCGTTGCACATGTTTCTCATCGGTGGATCGCCGGTCAGAAACCGCGAGCAGCAAATCACTGTTCAGCCCGCGGGCGGTGAAGCCCAACGAGACGCTATCGATCCGGACCGCAGGAAGCACAGCCTCACCGACCTCGACCTCCCCCAGACCGCCCGCCCTGGCGACACCATCATCTTCGAAGAACTCTAACCCCCAAACCCCAAAAACCAACAACGGCGGCCCCCTGTGCGAAGCCGCCGCTGTCAGAGCTGGAGTTTTCTCTCCCGCGACCGCTACAGCGCCACCCACGCCGCGCCGTCGCGCTTCTCGTTCGCCGGGCCCACCGCCCGCACCCGCCCGTCACTCGTCTGCACCAGGCAGTTGCCCGTCTCGCACACGCCCGAGAGCACACGCGAGATCTCGACAAAGCTGTTGATCGCCTTCCCGTTCACCGACAAACGGACCAGCTCGCCCGCCCGCGGCACACCCACCCGCATCTCCGCCTTCCGGCGCAGGGGGACCGAAATCGCCGGCCGCGTGTGCGGGCCGCTCGTCTTCCGTTGTTCGCTCGGTGGGTTCAGATAGATCGTTGTGCTCATCACCCATCTCCGTCTCGTGTGCGCTGCTCGTCGTCTCGCGGTCGGAAAATCGCTCGGCGTCCGCGTCTCCTCCGGCGCGGACACCGAGCGTTGTTCTGAAAAAGAGCGAGGCCCGTCACGGTCGGCGATGCCCGGTTCACCCATCCCTCGCCGCGTTCCGTCGGAGAGCGCGGGTGTTTACGAACCGAACGTCGCCAAATGCCGCCCTGCATCGTGAGGGCCTCGCTCCACGGCCCATCCGTTTCCCGAATGGGGCCGCTCGTGGGGGTTCCTGTGGTTCTGTTGTCTCAGGCGAGGGCCGCGAGCTTCCAGGGCGTCGCCCCGTTGCTCTTGGCGATGATGTACCCGTACCCGTCCGTCGCGATCACCGCGTACAGCCCGTGCTCCGCGTCGACCGTCTCAACCAGGTCGACCTGCACGTACTCGAGGCCCTTGCGGTCCAGGCGGATGATGTCGCCCGCCCGCGGCACAGAGAGTTCCTTCATTTCCTTGACCAGTTTCCGGCACGACCGCTTCGCGTCCGCGAATCGGCTCTTCAGGGTCTTGGTGGCCATCGTTCGTTCCTCGTTCCTTGTCGCGTCTGTGTGCGCTACTTTCTCCAGCGCGAACCGATCGCGCTCCCGGGCACGCACGCCCTCTCCCAAGGGACTGACCCGGCTCTCCAGCGGTCTTGAGTTGTCGTTGTCCTGACTGGCCGCGTCCCACTGACCGCGACCACCTGAAACCTACGATTCGCCTCACGCCCCCTGCAAAGCGCAAAGCCGAAAAAATCCGCGCAACCCGCAAAACCCCGGCTCCTGCCCCGAAAACGCCCATTCCGATCCCTTGTAGACTCCCCCGATGCCCACGCGAGACGCGACCACACTCCTCTGCGTCCCCATCATGGCGGACGACCCCCTCGTCGCGAAACGCGACGCCCTCCTGGCCGCGGAACTGGGCGCGGACCTCGTCGAGTACCGCGTCGACAACCTCTTCCACGGAGAGGGCGACGAAGAGGGCCAACGCGCCGTCCTCGAACTCGTCGAGGACTCGCCGCTGCCCTGCATCGTCACCTGCCGCCCGACCTTCGAAGGCGGCGACTACGACGGCGACGACTCCGCCCGCATCAGCCTCTACGAGGCGCTCGGCACGAGCGACCACCCGCCGAAGTACATCGACGTCGAACTCGCGACGTATCAGCGGAGCGCCAACCTGCGCCAGAAGGTGAGGCTCGCCGTCGACCACGACGCCCAGCACCGCGACGTGAGCACGAGCCTCATCCTCAGTGCGCACGATTTCGAGAAACGCCCCGACGGCCTCCTCAAGATCCTCCTGGACATGCGCGAGGACGGGGCGCACAAGGTGACCAAGCTCGCGTACCGGGCCCGCTCCGTCCGCGACATCCTCGAACTCTTCGAGATCCTCCGCGAGCGCGACCGCCCGACCATCGCCCTGGGCATGGGCGAGGCGGGGCTCGCCTCCCGCGTCCTCGCCCCCAAGTTCGGCGCCTTCCTCACCTTCGCCTCACTCCGCGACGAATCCGCCACCGCCCCGGGCCAGCCCACCATCCGCGACCTGCTCGATCTCTACCGCTTCCGCTCCATCAACGCGGAAACACAGGTCTACGGCGTCGTCGGCCACCCCGTCGCGCACTCCAAGTCCCCCCTCATCCACAACGCCGGCTTCGGCGCGACGGGCACCAACGCTGTCTACCTCCCCCTCCCCGTTCCCCCCGAGTGGGAGCACTTCAAGGCCACCGTCCTCGCGCTGCTCCACGACGAGCACCTCGACCTCCGAGGCCTGAGCGTCACCATCCCGCACAAGGCCCACGCGCTGAAGCTCGCCCGCGAGCAGGGGTGGGGGATCGACCCGATTTCGGCGCGCGCCGGCGCCGCGAACACCATCACGAAGCACGACGACGGCACGATCAGCGTGAGCAACACCGACGGCGCCGCTGCCCTCGCCTGCCTCCGAGACGCGCTGACGCGCGACATCGCTGGCGCGCACGTCGCCATCCTCGGCGCCGGCGGCGTCGCCCGGGGCATCGCCGCGGCGCTCCTCGACACCGGCGCACGGATCCACATCTACAACCGCACGAAAGACAACGCCGACGCCCTCGCGAGCGACCTCCGCGATCACCTCACCAACGGCACGAACCTCGACGCCGCGCCGCTCGAAGCCCTCCCGGACACCGCACACGACGCGTACATCAACGCGACATCCATTGGCATGACGGGCGGGCCCGCCCCGGAAGACGCGCCGTTGCAAGAATCTCACATGCAAAGGCTTGCCGAACAGACGGTTATCATGGACACCGTCTACACCCCGATCGACACGCCGTTTCTTCGGCAGGCGCGACAAAACGGCTTACAAACGATCGACGGCGAGCGGATGTTCCTTCGACAAGCCGCCGCGCAGTTCGAGCAATGGACGTGCCAGACCGCGCCGATCGACGCCTTCAAGGCCGCAATGCGGGCAACCGCCCCTTAATTTCGGACGTATACCATCACATCATGCGGAGCGAACCGGTCCTCTATCCCGGGATGTATCCGTGGTACGTCATGCTCGCGTACCTCGACGTCGTGCTCACCTGGACCATCCTCGGGCTCGGCGGCACAGAGCTGAACCCCATCGCCGCGTCCGTCATCGAGCACGGCCAGCTCCAGGGCATGGTCTGCTTCAAGTGCCTCACGATGGTCATCGTCCTCGCCTCCTGCGAGTACATCGGGCGCATCAAACGCAAGGCCGGCTTCCGACTCGCCGCCTTCGCCGTCGGCGCGAACGTCATCCCCGTCTGCATCGGCACCCTCGAAATCGCCAGCTTCGCGACCGTCGCGTTCGTCCTGCCGTAACAACAGCAAGGCACAGCAGCCGCGAGCGGAAACGAGCGGGCCAAAGCGGGAACAACCCCGAGCGCCAGCGAGTGGGCCACACGGCGACAGCCGATCCCCAGCCCCTTCTCCCCTCGCGGGAGAAGGTGGCCGACGAAGTCGGCCGGATGAGGGGGCCTATCAACGCCGCGCAGCGGCCATCCTCAATTCCCTACCGCGCATTCCCTCAAATAGCCCTCGATTTTCCACACATATCGAATACACTTAACTCCGAGCACGCACCCTCATCACCGGAGCACCCCGCCATGCGCACACCCGCCGCCCTTATCGTCGCCGCCATCGCCTCCTCCGCCGCGCTCGCCGGCACGACGGGCCCCGACGCGATCGTCGCCAGCCACAGCAGCGTCGCCAACTACGCCCCCGTCGGCCCCCTCAGCGCCATCAGCGCCGGCTTCGCGTACTGCAACATCGGCGACGAGAACCTCACCATCATCGCCAACACCAATCAGCACCCCATCTCCACGCACAATCTTTACCGCGTCGACGACAACGGCATCTCCCAGATGGGCATGGCCTGGGTGACCCACCGATTCTGCGCCCTCCAGCAGAGCCTCTGCGGCCCGTGCACGCCCCCGGGCACCGGCGGCTGCGCCTCCGCGCTCGGCATCGGCTGCTCGGACGTCACGAGCTCCGGCCTCGAGGGCAGCCAGATCGGCCTCTCCTCGCGCACGGACGTCAACCCGTCCACCGTCGCCTTCCCGTACCCCTTCGCTCCCAGCTCGGGCGATGCCGTCTTCAAGCGTCTCCAGTTCGTCACCGCGGAGTCCGACCCCGCGCTCAACCCCGGCGTGCGCTACTTCCTCGAGACCGTCACCCTCGCGCCCGACGAGGAGGACACCACCAACGGCGCCTCCTACCGCGAGCTCGTCCCCCGCGCCAGCGGCGGCTTCATCGGCTTCACCGGCGACACCACTCGCGAGCTCCCCGCCCTCTTCGCCTGGCAGGACCTCAACCCGGACGTCCGCGTCGAAGCCGTCGACATCCCGGACGACGGACGCGTCTTCGTCGCCTCCCTCGCGGAAGACAACGGCGACGGCACCTGGACGTACCGCTACGCCGTGACCAACCTCGACTCGCACGAGTCCGTCCGCAAGCTCCGCGTCGACGCCCCGGGCACGTCGAACCACGCCTTCACCGACGTCGACTACCACTCCGGCGACACCATCGACGGGACCGACTGGGCCGTCACCGAGACCGCGAGCGACATCGCCTGGGTGACCAGCACCTTCGACACCAACCCGAACGCCAACGCCATCCGCTGGGCGACGACCTACACCTTCGCCTTCACGAGCGCTGGCGCCCCGTCCGACGGCGCCGTCGAGCTCACTACCTTCCGCTCGGGCCTCACCATGAGCGTGCCCGCCAACGTCCCGGCGTCCGCGACCGTCTGCGCCGGCGACTGCGACGAGAGCGGCACGGTCGACTTCGGCGACCTCGTCGAGATGCTCTTCAACTTCAACCTCGATTTCGTCATCCCCGAGTGCGACCCCACCGGCGACGCCCAGACCACCTTCGACGACCTCGTCGCCGCCCTCTTCCTCTTCGGACCCTGCGAGTAAACCGACCGAACATCCGGTACCAACCCCGACCGTGAGGGAGGGGCTTCCCTGTGTGTTCGTGCGCACTTGGCAGCCCCTCCCTCACGGTCGGGGTTGGTCGTCACGCCCCTCCGCTCAGTACCCCTCAACCCCGCTCATCTCCAAAAGCGTCCTGAACGACTCCCCGAACACGAAGTTGTGCTCCGGGAACGCCAGCCCGCTCCTGTTGTTGTCGATGTGCGAGAACATCAGGTCGATCGCGCCGACCGTCTCGCTCGCCCCCGTCGCCGGGTCGAGGAACTCCACCGTCCCCTTCGTCGAGGCGCCACCCTCGTCCATCCGCTCGATCTCGGCGGTGTAACGGATCGTCATCCCCGCCGTCGCGTCGCGGTTGATCTCCGCCTTGCTCACCTTCGCGAGCACGACCTTCTCCTTGAACCCGTTCGCGTGCCCCACCAGGATCCCCGCGCTCTGCGCCATCCCTTCGATGATGAGCGAAGAAGGCATCACCGGCAGCGCGCCAAGCCCGCGCTCCGGGTCGGCCGCGAAGTGGTCGTGCAGGTGCTCCTCCGCGAGCGAGACGTTCTTAATGGCGACAAGCCGCACGCCCGTCTCGAGCTCGGTGATCCGGTCGATCCACATCCAGCGCATGCGCGTCGCCTCGATTTCGGTTGTGCGTCAGAAGTCGAAGGGGAAAACTTCCGGGGGGTCACGCCGCGGCCGTCTCGAGCTTCCGCTCCACGTAGTTCACGAGCGAGTCCACCGTGAACACGTTCCCGATCTCCGTGAGCTGCGGGTCCTTCCCGAACTCCGAGAAATCGAAGTGCGGGAGCTTCTTCTGCAACTCGACGAGCCCGGTCTCCGTGATCTTCCCGTCCTGGACGTAGTTCGGGTCCTGGGCGACGTTCTCGGGGAACATCTCGCCCTGCGGGATCTTGAAGGCGAACGCCTGCTCCAGCTTGAAGGAGATGTCGAGGAAGTCGATCGACTCCGCGCCGAGGTCGGCCGTGAGGCGCGCCTCCGGCGTGACCTCGTCGTCGTCGACGCCCAGCGCGTCGACCAGCACTTCCTGGACCTTCTCGAAGATTTCGTCGCGATTCATGAAAAAGAGTCCTCCGTGGCCTCTGAGAGCGGGCGGGATGCGGTCTTCCGGGCTTGGACGCGAACCATAGGCCCCGCGTCACGCCCGAACCACACAGTATCCCCGGAATCCCCCCCGGATGCCACCCCGAGCGGCGGCACCAACCCCGACCGTCAGGGAGGGGCTGCCCTGTGCTCATGGATCGGTGAGACGGTGAAACGATGAGACGGTGAAAACAGCAGCCACGAGCGGGAGAGATCAGGCAGACCTGTAGCAACCCCGAGCGTCAGCGAGCGGGGTACAAGGCGATTCCCAAACCCCAGCCCCTTCTCCCCTTGCGGGAGAA